TTGTAATGTTGTTACTAATTACATCTATTGTAATGTTGTTACTAATTACATCTATTGTAAAGTTGTTACTAATTACATCTGTTGTAATGTTGTTACTAATTACATCTATTGTAATGTTGTTATTAATTACATCTGTAGTAATGTTGTTACTAATTACATCTATTGTAATGTTGTTACTAATTACATCTATTGTAAAGTTGTTACTAATCATATCTGTTGTAATGATGTTACTAATTACATCTGTAGTAATGTTGTTACTTATTACGTCTGTAGTAATGTTGTTACTAATAACATCTGTAGTAACACTGTTCCTAGTAAAGTCTGAGTTTGTTACTCCATCTCTAGTTCTGTTAGTTAGATCTGTAGTAATGATGTTAATAATTACATCTGTAGTAACACTGTTCCTAGTTAGGTCTGAGTTTGTTACTCCATCTCTAGTTCTGTTAGTTAGATCTGTAGTAATGTTGTTACTAATTATGTCTGTATTAATGTTGTTAATAATTACGTCTGTGGTAATGTTGTTACTAATTACATCTGTAGTAACACTGTTCCTAGTAAAGTCTGAGTTTGTTACTCCATCTCTAGTTCTGTTAGTTATATCTGTAATGTTGTAATGTTGTTACTAATTACGTCTGTAGTAATGATGTTAATAATTACGTCTGTAGTAATGTTGTTACTAATTACGTCTGTTGTAATGTTGTTACTAATTACATCTGTAGTAATGTTGTTACTTATTACATCTGTAGTAATGATGTTACTAATTACATCTATTATAATGTTGTGACTAATTACATCTGTAGTAATGTTGTTACCAATTACATCTATTGTAATGTTGTTACTAATTACATCTGTTGTAAAGTTGTTACTTATTACATCTGTAGTAACACTGTTCCTAGTAAAGTCTGAGTTTGTTACTCCATCTCTAGTTCTGTTAGTTAGATCTGTAATGTTGTAATGTTGTTACTAATTACGTCTGTTGTAATGTTGTTACCAATTACATCTATTGTAATGTTGTTACTAATTACATCTGTAGTAATGTTGTTACTAATTACGTCTGTTGTAAAGTTGTTACTTATTACGTCTGTAGTAATGTTGTTACTAATTACATCTGTAGTAACACTGTTCCTAGTAAAGTCTGAGTTTGTTACTCCATCTCTAGTTCTGTTAGTTAGATCTGTAATGTTGTAATGTTGTTACTAATTACGTCTGTTGTAATGTTGTTACCAATTACATCTATTGTAATGTTGTTACTAATTACATCTGTAGTAATGTTGTTACTAATTACGTCTGTTGTAACATGTGATTTTAAAAGTTAACTGCTATGTCGAATTCATGGAAATTTGTGTAAACAAACCTTGAGTATCCCTGACTTGGGATGTTCCTTTCTAAATGAGTTTCAAATCCATTCAGCTGAACTCTAGAGCAGTTTTTTTTAGAGACTTACTCTTTTCCCCTATTGAGTCCTTCTCGTCCATCTCCCAGGAGGCCACAATCTTTTCTTTAACAATATTGAGTTCCGCTGGATAGAGGACGCTCTATGCTCAATTAGGTTAAGAGCCCTTCACCAATACTTCAGTCTTATAGAGATTAGCCTGCATTTTCCCTTCAGTGCCCAATCAAAACTCAACCCCAAAGGGACAAACCTCACCCCAAGGAGCCAGAGCCTTCATTTATATGAACTTAAATACTCAAAAGCCGAGGAAAGCTCCAGACCTCATCAAGTTAAACCCTTCATCTGTTCTTATGGACCAGAACAGACTAGTCTTTAAAATTTAAACGCTATTTTCCCTTTTCCCCCCAATGATTTGTTCCTTGGGTTAGTAATCGTATCTACTGTGTGGTATACAGTAATAATACCTACCGTGTGTGCCCAGCCAGCTTTGTCTCCCCACAACTCACGGAAATGGTCACCTGGAAGGAAAAAAAGTATTCAATAACAACATGTTCACCTGGCGCATATCTAAACACACTGCACATATTTTGTTTTACCAGTAGTTAGAACTTAACACAATGAGAGTGAGAAAGGTAATGTTCTTAAAACGCAGTTACAACTGAAGATAGTAAATCGCTGAAAAAAAATAATGTTGTCATTTAAGCATAAGGTCAAAATGTTTTACAGGTATGTGAATCAAGATTAAAATCACTTTGCTGTTAAACACAAATTTCCAAGAAACAAAGACAATATATTTACATGAGTTACCTCTGATGTACCATGACATTCTTTTAGTACCGGTAATATTTTAATACATACATAAAGTATAAAAGGCATGAGATTTATTACAAAAGGGGAATACATTCACAGGTGTGACCAACAACAAACCTCAACAAGTGGTCAGCATTCGACTATAAATACTAAAACGTAGCTGGAAACGGGGAGAGGTTGTATATTTAACTAAATTTAAATTTGATTTTACCTAACAAACCTATGTAAAATCTAGTTTACTTTGGTCATATTTTAGATTTGGCTGCAGTTAGTGATTTTCGGGATGAAAATGCAAAAAGAACAAAAAACAATTTTAACTGAATGCGAATTTAAGATCCATGTTGGAAATAAAATTGTGGCTTTTGCATTAGGAGTTGGGTCATTATCTGACCTCATTTAAATAAGTCAAAAGCAAAAGGATAGGGAAAAACATAACTAACAGAGATAGTGTGACAGAGAGTGTCTGAGAGATGGTCGAAAACTGAAAAGATTCTCAAGTTCAAAAACACTTGAACAATCTTGTGTTTAACTTCTTAAGGATCTTCCCCCTCGGGCTGATACATCCTTTTCTCAGCCCAAGGGGTTAAATACTCACATCCCTTTCTCAGTCCAAGGGGTTAAAGACTCACATCCCTTTCTCAGCCCAAGGGGTTAAAGACTCACATCCCTTTCTCAGCCCAAGGGGTTAAAGACTCACATCCCTTTCTCACCCCAAGGGGTTAAAGACTCCCGTCCCTTTCTCACCCCAAGGGATTAAAGACTCTATTAGTATTTTTTCCTTACCTATCTCTCCATACAGTTTGTCTGTGAGAGACTTTGCCTGTTTCAGTTTGGGCATATAGTCTCTAGCAGCTATCTGCCACACGTGGGTATCCACTGGAACAGCCTCCAACTTGTCCATAGACATCAGACACACACAGTCTGCCACCTACAACAGTCGTGTCGTATTAACATTGTATAGTCCATAGACATCAGACACATACAGTCTGCCACCTTCAACAGTAGTGTCATATTAACATTGTATAGTCCTTAGTCATACCTACCAACCATACAGTCTGTCACCTTCAACAGTAGTGTCGTATTAACATTGTATAGTCCTTAGTCATACCTACCAACCAAACAGTCTGTCACCTTCAACAGTAGTGTCTTATTAACATTGTATAGTACTTAGTCATACCTACCTACCAAACAGTCTGTCACCTTCAACAGTAGTGTCTTATTAACTTTGTATAGTCCTTAGTCATACCTACCAACCATACAGTCTGTCACCTTCAACAGTCGTGTCGTATTGACATTGTATAGTCCTTAGTCATACCTACCATCCATACAGTCTGTCACCTTCAACAGTAGTATCGTATTAACATTGTATAGTCCTTAGTAAACAGTCTGTCACCTTCAACAGTAGTGACGTATTAACATTGTATAGTCCTTAGTCATACATACCAACCATACAGTCTGTCACCTTCAACAGTCGTGTCGTATTGACATTGTATAGTCCTTAGTCATACCTACCAACCATACAGTGTGTCACCTTCAACAGTAGTGTCGTATTAACATTGTATAGTCCTTAGTCATACCTACCAACCATACAGTGTGTCACCTTCAACAGTAGTGTCGTATTAACATTGTGTAGTCCTTAGTCATACCTACCAACCAAACAGTCTGTCATCTTCAACAGTCGTGTCGTATTAACATTGTATAGTCCTTAGTCATACCTACCACCCAAACAGTCTGTCACCTTCAATAGTAGTGTCGTATTAACATTGTACAGTCCTTAGTCATACCTACCAACCAAACAGTCTGCCACCTTCAACAGTAGTGTCGTATTAACATTGTACAGTCCTTAGTCATACCTACCAACCAAACAGTCTGCCACCTTCAACAGTAGTGTCCTATTAACATTGTATAGTCCTTAGTCATACCTACCTACCAAACAGTCTGTCACCTTCAATAGTAGTGTCGTATTAACATTGTATAGCCCTTAGCCATACCTACCAACCATACAGTCTGTCACCTTCAACAGTAGAGTCTTATTAACATTGTATAGTCCTTAGTCATACCTACCTACCAAACAGTCTGTCACCTTCAATAGTAGTGTCGTATTAACATTGTATAGCCCTTAGCCATACCTACCAACCATACAGTCTGTCACCTTCAATAGTAGTGTCGTATTAACATTGTACAGTCCTTAGTCATACCTACCAACCATACAGTCTGGCACCTTCAACAGTAGTGTCGTATTAACATTGTATAGTACTTAGTCATACCTACCAACCATACAGTCTGTCACCTTCAACAGTCGTGTCGTATTAACATTGTATAGTCCTTAGTCATACCTACCTACCAAACAGTCTGTCACCTTCAATAGTAGTGTCGTATTAACATTGTACAGTCCTTAGTCATACCTACCAACCATACAGTCTGCCACCTTCAACAGTAGTGTCGTATTAACATTGTATAGTCTTTAGTCATGCCTACAAACCAAACAGTCTGTCACCTTCAATAGTAGTGTCGTATTAACATTGTATAGTCCTTAGTCATACCTTCCAACCATACAGTCTGTCACCTTCAATAGTAGTGTCGTATTAACATTGTACAGTCCTTAGTCATACCTACCAACCAAACAGTCTGTCATCTTCAACAGTCGTGTCGTATTAACATTGTATAGTCCTTAGTCATACCTACCTACCAAACAGTCTGTCACCTTCAATAGTAGTGTCGTATTAACATTGTACAGTCCTTAGTCATACCTACCAACCAAACAGTCTGTCATCTTCAACAGTCGTGTCGTATTAACATTGTATAGTCCTTAGTCATCCCTACCAACCATACAGTCTGTCACCTTCAACAGTCGTGTCGTATTAACATTGTATAGTCCTTAGTCATACCTACCAACCATACAGTCTGTCACCTTCAACAGTAGTGTCGTATTAACATTGTACAGTACTTAGTCATACCTACCAACCAAACATTTTGATGTATAGCAAAAACAGCAAGAACGATTACACAAGTTTACCAATCACAAACTGTTTCTGTCTTTTCACCATACTGTTATCTGTGACCAATCATGGCATGACATTAAATTGTGACTTTGTTGTCTAATTTCTTTGCATTTAAAACACATCATGTTTATTATGCATCATAGATACCATTCTGAGTCAATGAAAATCCTGTCTCTCAGTCTGCTGAGCCATCCCTCGCTGTATACATCAGACTGAGCCCTCCCTCGCTGTGTACATACCTTCGCTCTCACACTAATCTTACAGTCTGCTGAGCCATCCCTCGCTGTATACATACCTTCGCTCTCACACTAAACTCTCAGTCTGCTGAGCCCTCCCTCGCTGTATACATACCTTAGCTCTCACACATAACTCTCATTCTGCTGAGCCTCCCTCGCTGTATACATACCTTCGCTCTCACACTAAACTCTCAGTCTGCTGAGCCATCCCTCGCTGTATACATACCTTCGCTCTCACACTAAACTCTGTCTGCTGAGCTATCCCTCGCTGTATACATACCTTAGCTCTCACACATAACTCTCAGTCTACTGAGCCATCCCTCGCTGTATACATACCTTAGCTCTCACACTAAAAAGCTTCTCCTATTCAGACTTGGTCTGTATATATCAGTATGGTCTGTTCCTCCACTGAGCCATCCCTCGCTGTATACATACCTTCGCTCTCACACTAAAAAGCTTCTCCTATTCAGACTTGGTCTGTGTATATCAGTATGGTCTGTTCCTCATTCCACTGAGCCATCCCTCGCTGTATACATACCTTCGCTCTCACACTAAAAAGCTTCTCCAATTCAGACTTGGTCTGTGTTTATCAGTATGGTCTGTTCCTCCACATACCTTGGTCCCCACACCACACAGCTTCACTAACTCAGACTTGGTTTGTGTGTATGGTTTATTCCTCAGTCCCCTTAGCCATCCCTTGCTGTATACATACCTTGGCCCCCACACCACACAGCTTCACTAACTCAGACTTCGTTTGTGTGTATGTTTTATTCCTCAGTCCCCTTAGCCATTCCTCGCTGTATACATACCTTGGCCCCCACACCACACAGCTTCACTAACTCAGACTTCGTTTGTGTGTATGGTTTATTCCTCAGTCCCCTTAGCCATCCCTTGCTGTATACATACCTTGGCCCCCACACCACACAGCTTCACTGACTCAGACTTGGTTTGTGTGTATGGTTTATTCCTCAGGCCCCTTAGCTATTCCTAGCTGCATACATACCTTGGCCCCCACACCACACAGCTTCACTAACTCAGACTTGGTTTGTGTGTATGGTTTATTCCTCAGTCCCCTTAGCCATTCCTCGCTGTGGTTCGCCTGTATATACTTGGCAGTCACACTGATGTACTTAGCCCTGCATATAACAATGATCAGTCATGAGGTTGAACTGACAAGAATCAATACCAAGATATCAACATAACCTTAAATTAAGATGTAAATATTGTAAAAAAGTTAATATTTTCAGAAACAAAAACATACACAAAATTATACTGTATTTACTAAATGTAAAATTATACATAACAGTTTATGACCTCTGTAAGCACTACAAGGACCTTACCTGTAGCCAAATCCCAGACTACGGAGCCTGTCCTCCACACCTGGCCCTGACAGACTTTCCACTGATGGGAAATTGAAGTAAGACTCTCCCTTATACTCAGTGACCTTTGTACCGTAGGTCTGACAAAGCCGCTCCACCATTCCACTGATCCTGGAGATATGGTTGTTTGATGAACAGATGAAAGAGAAGAGATTTTCTACTGGATCCTGTCGGAGGATCCTAATTCCCGTAAAATCTATGGCTGTCCGTTTAAACACTGGGTCAGACAGTGACCAAGCAGTGTACAGGTCCGTAAGATTCACATCCAGTCTGAAATAGTCCCGTAATATTTCCTCATGTTTAGCTGATGTTTCACTGGTTTCCATTTGATCCAGTTCAAGCTTTAAACATTCATGTTTACAGTCTAATGTTGGTGAATGGACCTTCATGTCTTCATATTTATGTTCTATTTTTGGCTTGGAGACCTTTACATCTACATGTTGACAATCTAACGTTGGTGTAGAGACCTGCTCTGACTGCTTGTCAATCACCTTCACCCCTTTCCTTCCCTTTTTGGTTGAAAAGGTTCTCATTTTAGATCCTTTACTTGTGTGTTGTTTGACAAATTCCTCTTGTCTAACAGTCTCTGTGTTCTCACAGATCTGTACCGGTTCTGTCTTGATAGCTATGTTGATATGGTTGTCAGCTGTGATGGTGCCGTGTGGATGTTCTGGGGAGGGTAGCACCTGATAGAACAGCTCTGTGTCTGACTGCCACAAATTCCACATATACCCTGCCAGAACACCTGTCCAGACTCCAGGTGTCCTCTCCTTCCATCTAGACAAAGAAAAAGTTTTCTTTAGAACCGAAGTGTTAACATAACCAGTCCAGGTCTGTAGCGTTTACTAGTCAGCTGGCTGTGAGATTTGAAGCATTTACCAGTGTAAAATGGATATGAGATCTAGAGAGTTTACCAATGTCAGCTGGCTATGAATTTCAAAGTTTACAGCTGGTAGTTTGTATCGATGTCAGCTGGATGTAAGATCTCAATTGAAGTGTTTATCAGTGCAAGCTTGCTGGGAGATCTACATGCAGTGTTTACCAGCCTTTAATTTATCAAAAACGCCAAAAAAGAAGGTTTGGTTTACATTTATCTGCTAACATCCCACATGATTGCTTACAGGTTGAAGGCTAACAAAAAGATGTAGGTGTGTAACAGAACAGAGCTGAGTGACTGACTACAGATATCTTGACCCGATAGCTTAACTTAAGGTCATGTCATTTCATAGCATTAGTTAGGAAGCAAAAGAGATTGCCATTTTTATAATAAAGACATCCTTGTATGTTAATGTTATTTTAGTACAATTATGTCTAATTTTGTTTGTAAATCTTCAACAGAGCAATGTCAAGTGATACTAGCCAGAAATTTCAGCAATCACATCATGATGAAAATAAATAAACCTAAATATCACCTGAAAGATTGTCCACAAACTAGTGCTTTATCTAGTCGTAGTTCTGTTATTTTACATGGAATCCGTCTGCACGTGGACGCTGCCATTTCCGAGTTTAACAACAATCTGTAAAGCGTTAAGTTAAAGATAAATCTAAAGGAATTCCGAACAGGAAGCCAAAATCAAAGTCTCGTCTATAACGAGAAAATCACTGTTGTTCTGGGCAACATTTACAAATGGCCGCCCATAGGGGCAATCCAACTATAGTTTATGCTGGATAATCTGTTTGTGCCATTTTATCGGTGTATGCTGGCACTCAAACCATGTGAGTGTGAATCTGAAACAAGAAAAAACAAATATGGATTGTGGAGTGATCCGTTAACGGTAAATATTGTTAAACATTTAGAAAAAGACGTTTGTAGGCCAAATCAAATCAAATGTAACTAAGAACTACCGGTCCGATTCTGACAATTTTCCATTGGTTTCAGACATAAAAAATCGTTCACTGTCGGTGATAATTAGGCCGTATACACAGTTAAACAGCCCTCGAATCACGCGACTAAGAACTATTAGCGCTCTCTCTCTCACCCGCTGTAACACACCTGTTTTGGTTACTTCAGCGTATTCATACAGATACACCATGGGTGTTTGACACTCTGACTGTAAGTGCCACTGTACACACAGGTGGAATTTGCGGAATAAGTGAAGGAGAGCAAAAATATGAGTAAAGTTAAGCCTTTAATTTTAAACAGAAAACAAAAAGATTTACAATCACTTCCTTCACTCTACAATGACAACTTATTAAATCCTGTCATCGTCACTAAACCACACCATTATGTTACCTGTTTCTGTGCTCATCTTTTCATAGTACACATTATAAATATATGGTGCTAAAAGACCAATCTGATTAAGACAGATCTTTAATTCAAAGACTGGATTGTAGAGTATCGGAGTTGAATTAAAGATCTGGTGTTAATCAGATTTTTGAAAGATGGAAGTATATCTGAAGAAAATGTTATTGTTAATAGAATATTGATGTTATGTCAAGATTTTTCTGTTAACAATAAAATACATGTAGGTATACTAAATTGCAACAAAAGATTTTGTACAGTTATACTTACAATTACTAAGAAGAAGGAAGGAAATTTACCTGTAAGGACACCACACTATTTGGTGGAACAGCCAGATAAACCAAACCAAATGACAGTCACACAATTTTCAATATCATAATAAATGTTGCATATGAATAATATAAAAAAAAACCCAACATTTCCCATGTGTGTTTCTATTGTTTTCTAATCCAATAAAAAAAGTAGGAAAGCTAACTACCTTTCTTGAGATGATGATACATGAGCTACTGGTTGGCAACCAATTCTTACCCATTACCAACTATTGCCACCTCATGAGTATCAATAATTGTAAGCAAACAAAAAAGTGTACTTCTACCAAGTCAAACATGGGAAGCTGTTTGTCTCTGTAACCACATTTTTTAATATGAAAAGTCCCACAAAAAAACATAAGCTCTCTTTATTTTAGTTTTACATCCTTGAAATCCAAGGGGTTTACTGTTGATACATCTTTTCTGCAGCCCTGTGATATGTCATGGCAAAAATCAAACATCTTTATGTGACCCTCCCAGATAATACAAGTAGACTAGTCTGATGTCTTGAATGAAGATCAAAGGAATCATGCAGCAGCATAATGGTAAAATCAACATTTAAAAAAAAAAATGGTTGTAGTGTAACAAACAAGAAATAAGGGGGGAGGGGGGGTGGGGTGTACTACCTTACTGGCATGCTGGTGATGTGGTGATACTACCTTACTGGCATGCTGTCGATGTGGTGATACTACCTTACTGGCATGCTGGTGATGTGGTGATACTACCTTACTGGCATGCCGGTGATGTGGTGATACTACCTTACTGGCATGCTAGCTTTCCAGTGATGTGGTGTAACCCTAGGACATGCGCACTGGTTCAGTAACATTGAGTGTAGTCGGTGGCTGGATAGACATACTGCACGTTAGAGTAGCTGCTCAATCTGTAAGGACAGGTATCAGCCTGGTGATTGGTCAGTACCTGAAACCTGTCAATTAGCACACTGAGAGCCATGGATTTTGTCATGACATATTTTGAGTTGCAGAGAAGGCATGTTTATTGAGAGCAAATCTCTTGGATTTAAGGATGGTTTAGAAAACATCTTTCAAAAATAATTTCAGTTTTTATTTTTCTGTGACCTTTTTGTTATTTTATCTTGTAAAAACAATTACGTTTGAATGAGTAAGAAAATGTTCTTATGCTATATGATCAAAGTAAAGGAGATACTACGCTGGACAAGACTGAGACTTTGGATACATTATTGGTACAATGTGTATTTAATCTCCCTAAAACTGCTAAGTCTTAAAAACTGAACATTTACAATAAAAATATTGATGTTTATTGCCAGAAAAATAAATAAAACAAAACTCTGTAATCTTATAATATGATGTATTTGAACTGGATATCATCTCAGGTTGAGAAACATGCTCACAGCTGTTCACCACATAGTTTTTTGTTTTTTGATAGAGGTTAAAATATCAATGAAAAATACAAAACAACACCCTGGAATATGTGTTTACAATAGAATATATATAATAGTTACTAATGGAGTGTGTGTGTGTATAATGTATATAAATATAACAAAAAATGTAACTTCTGAAAAGTATGTGTATATAGTGTATGATTGACCTACTTTGAGGTTAATAAAATGATTGATCAAACTGATTAAGATTATATTTCCTGTCCTTGGCAATTGGTTTTGTCTGTCATTGTTGTTCAGTTCAAGTTTAATGTTAGAAATCTTAAAGTAAATTTCTTAAAATATACCCTATGTGCAATACACTTGTGCAATATCTCAGATGAACACACATGTATCAGTCTTAACAGAGGTTAGTAATTGTTTTATTATGTAATGTTTATACATGTACTTTCTGAGCCCAAAGGACCCTTATATAGACTTTTCTGCTCATTGATAAATTAATCTTGTGACTTTAAAGTGAAACAACCAACATTATAATTATGTTTCCCATCCTTACTTGAGTTTCCTCATGTGCAGCCCTATTTGCCACAGAAGTCGGTAAGGGTTATCACTGCTGTGTTCTGAATTACTGAAGCAGAAAGCAAGCCGCAACAATCGCTAATAAGGCAGATAATCTTTACTGTTGTACTATTGTTCTACTGTATGCCCTTGTAGTTTGGAAATAGGATTGCTTTTTTGGCCATCATCAATGATGTTTCTTTACTACAAGGACATTAAATGTATATTACATTTCCTTTGTGTGCAGGGGCAGTATAAAATCAACTGGATATTTTCAGTCTAGAGTATGAAATGTTCTCCCTAACATTGTTTTACATATCATGATATCTCTCTCTCAAAAGTGCACCCTATTACGTAACATAAAATTAGAATTCTCACCCTGTAGTCACGTTCCTTTATTGATTTTATACCTACATAAGTATTTCTGATGCTTCAAAAGTTTAAGAATGGCTTTCAAGTTGTATTAAAGAGGAAAAAAATGTTCAACTCAAGTATTTGGACAAAACAAAGGTGCTACCGGTACTTTAAATTGGTTGGAACATGTTAATAAGTTTTCTGTAAATACAAGACCAATTAGGGATAGATATGTATATAATTGTACAGAGTATTATAAATGTACTGTAATGGGCTACAATTATATGTTACTCACTATTACATAATGTATGACTTGTTAAAACAGCATGTTATAGGTACTGGACTTTGGATTATTATGGTATGATGATGTTTTTCCTCTTTTTCTACTTGTTACCTACTGTGTACTATGTCATTGTCAATATTACTACATTTATAATGAATAACTAAATACTTACTTGTCATTTTCTACAGAAGAATTCTATGTAAATCACCTCTTGCAATGCATTTTATAGATCTGTAATAGGTAGTTGTTTGAAATTTTATTTTTTTAAGAAAAAACTATTCAAAAACTTAATTTGCAGGAGTAGACTATCCACTGCTAATCCTACACTTTACCCGTTTTGATATCCAAGAATTATTTATGCACAACATTAAATTAAGAGATGGATACCTTGACAAGGTTGTTCTGACCTTGAAAAAAAATCTTTTTGTTGCTTAATCTTCTTTATAGAAAGGAGAATACTTAAAGCTCTCCTCTACAGTTATAACTGGTGTAGTTGTACCCTCTACAGTTATAACTGGTGTAGGTGTAGCCTCTACAGTTATAACTGGTGTAGTTGTACCCTCTACAGTTATAACTGGTGTAGTTGTACCCTCTACAGTTATAACTGGTGCAGGTGTACCCTCTACAGTTATAACTGGTGTAGTTATACCCTCTACAGTTATAACTGGTGTAGTTGTACCCTCTACAGTTATAACTGGTGTAGTTGTATCCTCTACAGTTATAACTGGTGTAGTTGTATCCTCTACAGTTATAACTGGCATAGTTGTACCCGCTACAGTTATAACTGGTGTAGTTGTACCCTCTACAGTTATAACTGGTGTAGGTGTACCCTCTACAGTTATAACTGGTGTAGTTGTACCCTCTACAGTTTTAACTGGTGTAGTTATATCCTCTACAGTTATAACTGGTGTAGTTGTACCCTCTACAGTTATAACTGGTGTAGGTGTACCCTCTACATTTATAACTGGTGTAGTAGGTGTACCCTCTACAGTTATAACTGGTGTAGGTGTACCCTCTACAGTTATAACTGGTGTAGTTGTACCCTCTACAGTTATAACTGGTGTGGGTGTATACTCTACAGTTATAACTGGTGTAGTTGTATCCTCTACAGTTATAACTGGTGTAGTTGTACCGTCTACAGTTATAACTGGTGTAGTTGTACCCTCTACAGTTATAACTGTTGTAGTTGTACCCTCTATAGTTATAACTGGTGTAGTTGGTGTACCCTCTACAGTTATAACAGGTGTAGGTGTACCCTCTACAGTTATTTTAACTGGTGTAGTTGTATCCTCTACAGTTATAACTGGTCTAGTTGTACCCTCTACAGTTATTTTAACTGGTGTAGTTGTAACCTCTACAGTTATAACTGTTGTAGTTGTACCCTCTACAGTTATTTTAACTGGTGTAGTTGTACTCTCTACAGTTATAACTGGCATAGTTGTACCCGCTACAGTTATAACTGGTGTGGTTGTATCCTCTACAGTTATAACTGGGGTAGTTGTACCCTCTACAGTTATTTTAACTGGTGTAGTTGTACTCTCTACAGTTATAACTGTTGTAGTTGTACCCTCTACTGTTATAACTGGTGTAGGTGTACCCTATACAGTTATAACTGGTGCAGGTGTACCCTCTACAGTTATAACTGGTCTAGTTGTACCCTCTACAGTTTTAACTGGTGTAGTTGTATCCTATACAGTTATAACTGGTGTGGGTGTATCCTCTACAGTTATAACTGGCATAGTTGTACCCGCTACAGTTATAACTGGTGGAGTTGTATCCTCTACAGTTATAACTGGTCTAGTTGTACCCTCTACAGTTTTAACTGGTGTAGTTGTACCCTCTACAGTTATAACTGGTGTAGTTGTACCCTTTACATTAAAAACAGTATGTACAAATATCCTACATTCTTACATAAGTTACAGAGTTGGAGTGATCACTAACGTATATTGCTGTAAAACATGGTTGATGAAATTTCTCTCCTAAATCAATAGGTGATCTTTTTCAATAGGGTTAGTTCCATAAAAGCAAAAATATGTATTTGAAGAATCTGCTTAAGTACCTGTGTATATTGTAGTTGTGTCTGGGAGCCATTGATTTGTATTAGTATCTCCCTTAGATCGACCAGGTCTCCAGTGTACAGCACCGGGCGGCTTTAAACCGCTCTACCTTGACACGTCAATACACTTGGTTTGCATTATTCATATCTTTGCAATTTGTTGAAATACAGGTAAGATGTATATATTAATATTAGGAGTGTTTGACTTTCATACAGGTATTAGGTGTATGTAGTGACATGTATAATTGTGTTATTACTGTATGTGTTGGAGATCACAAATGGCCAGAAGGAAAAGTTAAAGGCTTGTAGATATTCTAATATCAATTATTTTATTTTTCCTTACAGGAATTGAAGAAAGTCTTCACCATCAGTGCTTCACCTCTATTTGACCTTAACGAACAGTTTTGGCCATGGTGAGCATTCCTGATTGGTCAAAGTTTGCACGGGTGCAGGAGGGCCTGAAGGACTCGCGCAATGTGCACCTCAACAAATACTACAAACAGCGCGAGGAGGAAGCTATTCGCCAAGCTGAGGAGCGTGGCTACTTCAGAGTGCCCACACAAACCTACCTCCTAGAGGAAAATGACTTTCGTAATGGCAGGAAAGTGCGTGACCTCAGCCAGCTACAGCTGGTGAAGCTTGTGGGTGTTCACCTACGGAAGATTGGTGACATCGCCTACTGTGTGAACCTCCGCATCTGTGTCCTTAGCAACAACTTCCTCACAAAAATAGACGACCTTACATCATGTCGCCAGCTAGTCAAATTGGATCTCCATAGTAACCAGGTGGGTACATGACCGACACTCCTCTGTTATCATACCCTCCTCATTGTAGTTTGACATTTGATATTTGTTTGTAGTACGTAAGTAAATATTGTGTGTAGGGTGCACGTGGTACTAAAGCTGGACTGAGCTGCTCTGGCTGTAAATGGACACATTTATCCCTTAAAACTTTCAATAATTTAAAACATTATCAAAATGAATTAACTAATAAGCAGATCTTGATTCATATAGATGACACTTATAAGTAGTGAATTGATGGAAGAAATACACGGCTTAGTATAGCTATTATTGCTGACTTACAGAGCATATTTTATATATTCTATTGTTCCAAAGATAAACCATGTAATGGTCAGTGTTTGATAATACAGGATATGTTTGACATGATTTTGTCTAATTATTATGACATATTGAAGATAGCACATCAAACATGGGACTATGGTACCTTTAGTAAAACCATGCCGAGGGCTAATGTCTTGCATACTGAGGTGTAATTAATCCCCAGTCAGTAGTGGTGGTATTGTGGGAGATTTCACACATGATCGGTTCTCTTAGCCAGACTATTGGTCCTCTCAGACAACATGTTAACACTGGGTGATCAGCTCTAGATATCATCACATAGCCTGCTTATTAACGACGTCCGACACTATACTGTAGGTCTGTCCGTATCAAAGCTCACTTCCTTATCTATTTAATTCATCAAAGTTGAAAAATTCTGTCAAGTTTGCCGACGTTCTTAAAGTCAAAATTCCCACAGGGGGCAAAATCTATTGCCTGTTTTCCTGATGGCCTGTTGTTTAATCAATATTACTGATATAAGTCAAATGTGTACTAAACTGTAACATTAATTGGTGGGTAATAACCATGAACAGATTTGTTGGTATATACGCTGTTTCACGTTCTAATTTATCACTCAGAGCTAGGATTCCTAATGATAGTATGGTTTTTGAGTATTAGAGTTTGTTCAAATTAGGACCCTGGTGTAATAAAATAGGTCATGGTATCATATTCCCAAAAATATGAATTTCTGAATGTTATTTTCAGAATCATATAACATATTTTTTCATAATTTGTTACGTTTCTGTGCTGTGGTAATGCTATGTCTCAATACACAACATGTACATTTATACTTATCATACACTGTGTTGGTATAGTAGATATTTACTTTAACTATTGACTTTTCATATAACCGAGTCACACTAGTATATATATAGTGGTATTAGCTATAGTGTTTGTAGTAATGATTAAGTAAATTCCATGTAAGCATTATAAAACCAACATCTCACACAATTACTGTAGGACCTGCCTTTACTCTGTGGTTATAGTGTGGAACACATCCACATTCATCATGGTTCTAATGAAAATAAACATGTGTTTGTGTTGAAGACTAATACCTTGATGTAGGAGATTGTTGATGGACCTTGGTTTGTGGTGTACCCGGTGTATACACACTTATTGATTTAATACCTATACACTGGCACCCCTTTATCAATCACTATATATATGAGAAACTACCATTAAATTAAAAGTGTGTCATTTTAGAATTGAAAATACTTGAAAATAGATTAGTTTCCTTGCTATGTATAAAGAGCTGGAAATTTAATCAGTTAGGAGCTTTTTAACACCGGTCTGTATACATACTAGTGTTTACCTTTAAATATTGACCTTTATAAACGTTTCAGACAGAAACATTAACAGTTTAAGTGTGCAGGAATCCTGTTTCCCCTGGTACCACAGATCACAGATCACAGATCACAGACCTTCTGTCACTGAGCCAGTCAAGTCTACTTAAGGTGTCTGAGGGGTACCACTGGTTAATATAGAGCCCCTGGGACCACAGATCACAGGCATTTGCTCGCTGAGCCAGTCAAGTCTACTTAAGGTGTTTGAGGGGTACCACAGGTTAATATAGAGCCCCTGGTAGCACAGATCACAGACCTTCGGTCGCTGAGCCAGTCAATTCTACTTAAGGTGTCTGAGGGGTACCACAGGTTAATATAGAGCCCCTGGTGCCACAGATCGCAGACTTTCTGTTACTGAGCCAGTCAAGTCTACTTAAGGTGTCTGAGGGGTACCACAGGTTAAGATAGAGCCCCTGGTACCACAGATCACAGGCCTTTGCTCGCTGAGCCAGTCAAGTCTACTTAAGGTGTTTGAGGGGTACCACAGGTTAATATAGAGCCCCTGGTGCCACAGATCGCAGACTTTCTGTTACTGAGCCAGTCAAGTCTACTTAAGGTGTCTGAGGGGTACCACAGGTTAATATAGAGCCCCTGGTACCACAGATCACAGACCTTCGGTCACTGAGTCAGTCAAGTCTACTTAAGGTGTCTGAGGGGTACCACTGGTTAATATAGAGCCCCTGGTACCACAGATCACAGGCATTTGCTCGCTGAGCCAGTCAAGTCTACTTAAGGTGTTTGAGGGGTACCACAGGTTAATATAGAGCCCCTGGTACCACAGATCACAGTCCTTCGGTCGCTGAGCCAGTCAAGTCTACTTAAGGTGTCTGAGGGGTACCACAGGTTAATATAGAGCCCCTGGTACCATGGGGAAATAGTTAGTGAATGTACCAGGAAATAGTCAGTGAATGTACCAGGAAATAGCCATTGAATGTACCAGGAAATAGTCAGTGAATGTTCCAGGAAATAGTCAGTGAATGTACCAGGAAATAGCCAGTGAATATACCAGGAAAAAGTCAGTGAATGTACCAGAAAATAGCCATTGAATGTACCAGGAAATAGCCATTGAATGTACCAGGAAATAGCCATTGAATGTACCTGACATTATGCAACACAAGGTTGCATTACAAATGAGGAAAGCAGAGTGAATATTCTGGACAAAGCCTCAGAGATTAGGAATAATTGTATTTATGTTTAGATGTTAATAATCATGTTTATGACCATTCTTCTGTTAAAACAATAATAATATACAACAATTGTATTTCTGTTACACAGATAAGCAGTATTCCTGGAGTGGCTTTCTGGTCTGGAATGAGGAAACTTAGGATATTACATCTCCACGACAACCCTCTTGGAAAATATGAGACATTACAAAATCTGGCGACTTGTCCGTCACTGATTGTTCTAACCCTGTACGACACGCCCCTTAGCCTGAAGCGTAACTATCGGCACCATGTTGTCAACAGTGTTTGGTCACTCAAGGCGCTCGACCATCATGTCATATCTGATGAAGAAATCATTGAGGATGCCATCTTCGGTGGGAAGTTTGGAACACTTCATCCTGCCTTTAGGATTGATCTGTGCCCCCCTACATTAGAGGTAAGTATACTTTTCCTTCAGGACTGATCTATGCCCCCCCTTCATTAGAGGTAAGTATACTTTTCCTTCAGGACTGATCTGTGCCCCCCCCTACATTATAGGTAAGTATACTTTTCCTTCAGGACTGATCTGTGCCCCCCTACATTAGAGGTAAGTATACTTTTCCTTCAGGACTGATCTGTGCCCCCCCTACATTAGAGGTAGGCATACTTATACTTTTCCTTCAGGACTGATCTGTGCCCCCCTACACTTAAGGTATATATAAATTATAATATGTGATACCTTGTACTTTCCTTTAAGACTGATCTTCTATATCCCCCATATTAGAGGTAGATATATTACATTTTGTTATAAAATATCAAGTGAAACTAGTAGATTTTACCCAATGCCATTTAAACATGGTTAGTATGTAGAAGACTGATGTAAGAATGTTTTGTGTGTTGTAGGACTCTGACTATCAGGAGGAGCTGTACACAATCTACCTGGTGGAGGCCTACATCAACCACATCATGGCCCACCACTCTCCTGTCCTCATCATACAGCGCTTCATGAGGGGTCACCTGGCCAGGAAAAGGTAAAGTTATTTCAGTGATTCTCACAAGGTAAAGATACGTTCATGTCACAATGTAAAGGAAAAACCTCTCATAATGTAAAGTAAGGATCATCTCACAAGTAAAAGAAGGACCACTTCATAATGTTGTAAATATAATAGGTGTGTACAAATTCAGTGTTACATCCTAATAGGAAATAAACAATGTTTTTATGATAGCTGGGTAAGACTTAGTGAGCTCTACCTAACAGAAATTATTCGTAAGGTCCGACCCACTGTACCAAGGTTTTTTTTTGTATTGTTTTATGGCCAATCAAAAATTTTAGTCATTTCCTGTATAAATACCTGTCTATGTAGGTTATTCCTGGATAGCAAACATCTGTTTGTGAAGTCCACATCTGTACTCCCATAACTGACCTAAACACAAAAACTAAACCAAGGTCACAGAGGTAAAGGTCACAAAAAAAGATGTGCAATATGTTTAAAGGGACATCACGTGAAAAGGCGTTTTTTTGTTAATGAATGTATGTATTGTATGCACTTCCGCTTATGTTACCTCGCTATCCCCATATTCATAGTCCGTTCCAAATGTCCAGTTTGACCACTTGAATTGTTCGGGAAAGCCCTGCTAAAAATAGCGCCGGTAACACAAGTGGTGCGAGCGAGATGAAACGGTTTACAAAGGGGCCCTCAGAGAGGGGCCGTCAGGCAACTGCAACTTCTTACCGCACTATGAAACCAAGTTATATGATTTCTAATTCCGTATTCAAACTTATTGAACAGTAATTATTCATCATCAGAAGTTAATTGCACACTTGCCAATATTAAGAATTTAAATTTATTTAGCTTTTAACATAAATTTGTTGCCAATAAAATTAAACAAAGGATGGGGCACAAGTTTTTACAATTTATCACAGCCTTCTCCCGTGACCGGTACAGGTGGTACGGGGCTAAACACTCCCTCAACAATGGGACAAACCTTTCTGTAAAAAGGAATATTCACGAGACGAATATCCCTTTTCAAATGTTTACATAAAGTGCATATATGCAATGACAAACTACACGCGAATATAAAAAGGAAACGTTTGTGAATTTATTTATTACATTAAACAACTCAATGTCTTTGGCCATTTTTTTTCTAGACCATGAATATAAATCTATGTATACTCTCTTTCCCACTTTCACTGTCTCCAAACGCTAACATTTAGGAAGTCATATTAACCATCACACACAATAAACTGTATGGCAAAACCACTACGTGTACATGTAGAATATGTGTCAATAAGGAACGTGTTGAGATACTTGATAATTATATTTTTTCAATACTTTACAGAGATTAAAGCATACTT